ATCAGTTCCTACAAAACCTGAGCAGTAAGGATGATCTCCTTGATCCCCAGCCCTGAACCTCAAGGTTGCACCGCACCCTGAGCTGAATCCACTGCCCCTTAACACTAAGACCTCATGTCCCCAACAATAGACATTCCCAATATAGTACCTTTATAGAAGCAGGGGAATGGGACTACAGGTTGTACTGTCAGGGCAGAAATCAAAGCATGTAACGAGGCTCGGTCTTCTGGGCTCGTTATGGAGGCTTGATACAACACACACGTCGATGACAACAACAGGCCTGTGTCGAAGTCGTTTCGGGATGAGGTTAGGTTGGGACGAAAACGTTAGTGGTGACCTCAAGAAATATTGTCTGGGGCTTCAACCGGTGGGCAAGTACTGCATGTGGACTTGGCGCACCTTCCGCCCAGCAACAGGCAGGATGCGTTGTTGTCGGCCTGTGGCTGCAGAGTGAAAGAGCAGAAGTGCAAATGACATATCACAATGTGTGTGGTTGGATGCTTCGGATGTGTACGAAGATCATGACAATCCTGGCACATTTCGGAATACGAAGGCTTGCAAGCATCGTAAAAGCTTAGCTCTTGGCGTTCTTCTTTTGTCATAAAGCTCTTCCTTGTGCTCACGCAGGATTCGCTTGATGCGTAAGGAACAGTTCGGAGCTTTTACAAGCCTGTTAGCGGCAGACAAATGCAAGCTTCGAAATAGCGAGATGCGGGATTCATGGTGTCGTGTCTCAGGAGGAAATCTTTTGGATACAGGTCTCATGTTTTTGGACGATGGAAGTCGGGGAGCGTTTCAAATCAAGTTTTTGGCAGCCTAAACATCTGCAATAAGACTGTCGATGCCGGGGTTAGGCCTGTTGTATTTAACTTGTCCTTTTCAACAGCAATGGTCCAGGTTACCAGGTGAATGCGCAGCTTAGATTCTTCAATTTTAGTTTGATGTATACAGGGTTTTGGGGTCGTCCAGATTGCAATTTTCGATTCCTGGTGGACGGCAACAACTCGACGTGCTTACAACAAGGACACGCAATGTATTGTCTAGGCCAAAATCGCCCTCAACTTCCTGTAACCTTTTGTCTGAGTAGCGAGGATGAAGTTCCCTTCCAATTGCCACGTCCTGGTCCACATACTTGAGTACAATCCGGGAACTGTTCTTGAGGCAGATTCCCAAATAGTTGAAGATTGTAGGTTTTTACATGGGATCCCAGGCTCCAGCATTTGAAGCCTGAAACCATTCATCATGGCGTGCATGTTCTTTGCCAGCATTTAAGTCGCTAGCAATGTGGAGCTGCAACAGGTACTGCCACAATCTCAACAACAATATCATCCACGACAGTGTCTTCCACGACAGTGTCTTCCACGACAGTGTCTTCCACGACTGTGTCTTCCACGACTGTGTCTTCCACGACTGTGTCTTCCACGACTGTGTCTTCCACAACTGCGTCTACAACAGCAACTTCCACGTTTACTCTGTCCTCGACCCAGACTTCTTCCAGTTCTACGATCTCCTCTTCCTCAAGCGCCACCAGCACCTCCACCATTACCCTCACCACAACGACAACTCAGACGGAAACAACCATGACCTCGTCTTCATCTACAACTGTGTCGAGCACTTCCACGACGGAATCTAGGTTCATTCGGGTGGTCCCCTATGTGTAGTGTCAGGCTTGCCTTGTGCATTCAGGGTCAACAGCAGCACGACGGCCGTTACCGCCGCTGCCACCGCCGCTGCCACCGCCGCTGCCACCGCTGCCGCCGCCACCCCCCCCCTTGCCCTTACCCCCACCACCATCATCATCATCACGACTACTTCCATCACCCCGATAACATGAGTTTCACTACAGATAGTCAGCAGATGACTGTCAAGGAATCCCAAACCTCGTCCACTCAAACGACAATCACGTCGACTTCAACATCGTCAACCTCGGGGACAACGTCTGTGACAACATCCACTGCAACAACAATGACAATCACTTCGACAACCTCAACCCGTACAACTGTCACCGTAACGTCCCTCACATCCACGTCTTCCACAGCCACGACTTCCACGGCAACAACGGTAACGTCCTCTTCCAGTACCATGACAACTTCTACAGAGACCTTCACCACTGTAACCACGTCTTCAACAACTCACACAATCTCATCCACAACCTCTACCAGCCAGACGTCCACTAGCTCCACGACGTCAACTACTACGTCCACGTCCTCCAGTACTTCCTCAACATCACAGACGACTACTACTTCCACGTCCTCCAGTACTTCCTCAACATCACAGACGACAACTACGTCAAGCAGCACTACGTCGACAAGCACGACGTCAACACGCACTGCATCAACAACGACATCAGCTAGCACATCTTCAAGTTCTACAACAACCACATCCAGAACTAGTTCCTCAACAAGTTCCGTGTCGACCACAACCACCACAACCTCAGCCAGCACATCTTCGAGCTCTGAGACTGGCACGAGCTCCACGTCGGTGTCATCTACCACCTCCTACACTGAGTCGACAACCATAACAACCAAGACGTCCTCGACCATCTCCCAGTCCTCCACCATGACCTGGACAAGCACATCCATAACGTTGTCGTCGACATCTAGCTCAAGCACACAGTTCTTGCCGCCTCCCCTCAATGCTGAACTTGCTGCTCAATCTTAGTTGGTTTCGGGCTCAAGGTCTACTGCAGGGTTTGCGGTTGAATGCTTGTTTGAAAGAAGCTTTCTTGGTGTTGGCTAGGACATTGCGCAGCGGCATATAGCAGTAATCTTCATGTATGAAAAAGCGGAAGTCGGCTTTCTGAAAATCACCATCAAGATGAAATAAAGAGTTATTTCCTGCAAATTTGTTGAACAAACCCCTTAGGTTCTTGAGTGGCATAAGGTAGCAGGTCAACACAATGAAAAGTCTTCCTTCATGACTCAGGTTTGTCTAATGGTTGTTCAAAAGGGCCATGGTTGTACTCGAGAAGGCGCGCACACACAGAGACAAACCTTTCCGAGGATTTGGGGTTTTGCTAACGTTCCGTCAGTTGCCCCCTGAAATCAGTGAGTATCACTGCACAGTAACCCATCTCCGCTCAAATCAACAAATTCCAAACCCAAAGCCGCAATGCCCTGAGTCCAGGTTCTTGCAGACCTTGCCGCTAGGTTGATCTGGCAAAGCTTCTCATTGAGCCGATGCTGTTGTTCGAAAACAATAAAGCAACAGAAATCGGGACTTGTTTGTCTCAAGAGGCTCAGGCCTTTGAATGTGGGCATTTTTGGGCCTCTCACTTTTTTTGTAGAATGGATTCCATGAGGCATTCGCTAAAACTGAAGCGCAACATGTTGGGGTGCTTGAGGGTTTCTCCTTGTGGAAACCTCCAAACTTCTAACTAGAACCTTAAACATCCTTAAGCTGAAAATCGCAAACCTGAAGCCGGGGTCCCACGGGGCATCCTGTCAAAGAGTCTTCAGCAACAAGGACAGCTCAGAGAGAGAACAGGCCGTACAGCTGGTTGCCTCTCTGGCACCTGGTCAGGTTAGGTTCAGGATTTGGAGTTTAAGTTGTAGGTTTCAGGATTAAACAATTACGTAGCGTTTAGGATTTAGGGCTTAACTTTATATAGAACAAGGTGTATTCACCAGAATCATGGGTCTGCTTTCAACGAGAAGGCACAGGGTATATGATACCCATGCTCATACAAGTAGGAAAATTGTACTGGCAAAACGGGGTTGCCATTGTGGATTGTATGGAGGGAGCTCATCGGAGCTAATGGCAAATTACGTGCAGGAACCACGTGGGCTTGTGCATATCACGCCATGCTTTGCAGGAATTTACAGACGTTGGAAGGACGCCTTGTACTTTCCAAAACAGCACCGGTCTCATGGGTTTGATAAATGAGAAGGGGACTAGGTAAGCGGCTTTGCATTCGGTTGAAGCTATATAAGCCCAATATATACCCTACTGTTATAGCCCAATATTTCCATTATCCCTAAATGAAGGGTTCAGGGCCGACGAAAGTTTTTGCAGCGACTTCAAAAGCAACAGAACGGAATGCTTCTCTTACCTGCGCATCGAGCTTGAGCTGATCATTTAGAATCTTTCCTTCCGTACCTTTCCTTCCACCTTTAGCGCTAGAACATTGAAGCCGGGAAGCCAAGAAGGTGTCCTTTGAATGCGTGCGAAAACTGCAAGCCTGAACCCCAACTCCCCAAACTCTAAGCCCTAGAGCCTCAAACCCAAAAGCCCCCGCTAACTCCCAGGGCAGCAACTCATCGAACTCAACTGGCATTGTTGCCAGCATCATCTCGCAGTCTGAATGGGCGACCACGCAGACGGTGGCTTTGCATCTTGGCACCTGAGGTGGTTCATCCTGAGGGTAGCTTAGGCCCTTCCCTCAAACAAGCATGGAACACCATAATGTAGGTCACTTGTCAAGGACGGTGCTAGGATGGGATCCTCTTGATGTTCATGTAAGTGGGGCGGGCCTGGAATTCAGTGGTCTCCCACTCAAAAATAAGCATAATCCGAGTCAGAAGTTTCACAGCAGATATGATATTTTGTGTCTCTAGCTACCTCATTGGCGGAGATTCTGTTTTCGGTTGTACTCGGTTGAGCAGTTTCCCATTTGTTCCCAGGTTGTCCCTTTCTGAAAGAGTCACTTAGACAGCCAGGTTTCCATATCTAAACTTTAGTCCGATGCATTGCAAAGTGGACTGTGGTGATTGTGTTGGTGGTTGTACTCGAACATAGCTCGTGTAACTGGATTCAAACTTGTCTTTTTCTTCTGAGGTGATCATGCAACAAGGCAGGGAAGCAGGATAGAAAGCAACGCGGGGGCGAAAGCAACAAGAGCAGATTTTGTAGTCCTAATCCTGAAGAAACAGGCATGTTTCGCAAAAGTCATCACTTCTCCACATACATCCAAAATTGTCTTCAGCATCGTTAGCAACACAACCACCACCACCGCCGCCGCTGCCGCAAACACCGCCAGCACCATCACCATCATGTCATAATCATCACCAAGATCAAAACGGACCATCGTCACACACAGAGTACCTAGCACCAGCATGCCTCCTCGTTGCCTTCCCTCCTTCTGATTTGCTTCTTGGTTTCTGGTCACCAGCGAGATTTGGTACAGGAAGCGACTGATTTGGTACAGGAAGCGACTGCTGCATATTGCTCTGGCTACATCTCTAATCATACATATATATATACATATGTATGCATAAATTGCAGTGCATGCGATCCGAGGGACAGCGAGACCATCCAGAGCTTAGAGCGCAACATCACCCTTCTGAGTGAGAACGCAAGCGTCGATGTCCCTGCGGACGTCATTGCGCAGGTGCTTCACTGACCAAGCTTCGGAAGAGTGTCTGGGTTCGTTGCCAGGGTTGAGAAGCGGCCGTGAAGAAGGGTTATGGTACAAGTAGCAGCTGGAATTGTCATGACAGTGCAAACCGCTTGGCTGCAAAAGCACCTTGGACTTGAAGTCTGAGACACGGAATCCAAGACTGCAACCTTGGATCGCTGCCCTCACACCCGCAGCAGCAAATCTACCACCTGGATACTTCAAAGGCGCAACTCTAACTATGCTCGGCAATTCATGCGGTTGCAATTGCGAACCATTTTTAAAACTCCTTCACAAGATCTGGTTTTCTACCATAGACTGCAGACTCCATGGGAAGAATGAGGTGGAATTTTTTCCACTTACTGCACATGGCTGTGCTGCACATTTTGACATAGCTGTGCTGCACATTGTGATCTGCTGTTGTCAAGTCTCCGCCAACCCCTACTCTAAACTGCAAACCCTATCACCCCAGACCATACGATCCAAACCCAAAGCTTGAAAACATCCCAAAACTTAAGCCCTAAACCCGCACCTTCAGGCATCAGCATCCAAATCCAAGCCCAGAGTGCCAAAACCAACTTGGTTTAGGACTCTAAATCTTCCAAAGTAGGTACGAGCAATAGGCTTCAGGACGCAAAGTAGGTATTATGTAAAGAGTTATGAGAGGCCCAGGGTTGGGGTTCTCAGGCTGCTGCCGCAGCCGGCAACCAAACTGGGCTTGTGCTGCTGGGTGCTCATTTAATGCATAATGGGGTCATGGAGCTAAGGCGGTGTGTAACTATACAGCAAGTGTTACTAAAGCTTTCTCAAGCTTTCGTCTTGAACCCAGCTGTGCTGATCTTTGCTAAGAAGGTGTGGGAGAAGGGGAACCCACATGGGCATCGTTTCCAGGGCTAGACCCCAGCACGGAAGGCTTTCTGGGGGTGGCCTGGAGGTCCCCGAAAGAAGCATCAAAAAGGGTTCGTTCTGATGGGGTTCCGGGGCACCGGTTTGGGTACCGTGCAGGCTGTTTGGGACACCAGGCGGCAGCTTTTTAGGCAGGCACGTTGGAAGCTGTTCTCGGGCATGCTGGAGGCTGTTTGCTGCCTTTTCAGCTTGGGATACGGGGTGTGCGGTCCCGCGTAATTCGGGCAGATCCGGCCATTGCCTCGGTGGCACATTCTGCTTGTAAGCTTTAACCCCACCCCTGCGTGGGTGCGAGTTGAGATGTCTTTCTTTATGTGGGCAAAGGTAGGGCTTTTGGAGGTTTAGGGTTCTTGTTTTTGGGGCGGTTTGCGGGTTCAGGGTTTAATGACCATCTGACAAGTCTTCCTGCAGGGGTTCTCTTTAAGTGTTTTGAACTAAAATGCCTCCATGTAAGAAGTTTCGTATGGGATTTCATGTTCCATTTCCATCATCGTTTATGTAGCTGCCAAATGAAAGGATCGATGATTGATCGCACAGAGGGCTCAGATTTTGACAGAAGCCCATGTGGGCAGCATCCTTTAATGGGGTTGCTAATATCTTCCCTTTGGTTATCGAATTGGTAAGAAGAATGTAGTCCGAATAGGTTCAACCACCAGAAAACTACCGATCTATGCCACCTTCGGCTTCTGATTTCATGAGTCAAGGGCATGGCCATGTCTGAATAATGCAATATCGTCTCTGTGCTAGAAATGTTCCTGTCATGATGGATTTTTTAAAGCTCACGAAGCATTGCCCAAGTTAAGCAGTCTAGAGCATGAATGCAGAACAATTGAAAAGACGCTCAAGTTTTAAACGGGTTGCAGCCTACTGTCCCTTATATCTACCACTGCTTGTCCTTACTAGGCTCTATCTGGGCCATAGACCCTGAACCCCTGAATCTCAATCCCAAAACTCGCCCGAATTTTCAAGCGCTAGGATCTTCCTGCTGCGAGAACCCTGATCTCCCAAGGCTTCTTAGCTTCTCTGTTGGCTTCGCGGATTTGGGAGCACAGCTCCAGAGCAACAACTCCAACGTCACGGGTGCGGTGGACGCGGAGAGCGAGGATTTGGGGCCTTCCGGGTTGAGGGTTTTCTTTTTGTTCAAGTTTTCGGATGGAGTGCAGGTAGGAGTACAATGCCAGCTACAAAAAGTTGTTCATCGCCCTTATTTCACCGCGCGCTGTTGTGTCATTTTCAAGCTACAGCCGTCATTTCGCCTGCATCCAAGGTAGAGTACCCAGAATCAAAGTATACACATGTTCGTCCCCCAGTGCATTGGCTTCCTGGCACATCCATGCCCAA